CTGCCACGTGCCCGTCTGTCAGCGCTCTCTCTCTCGCTCGCGGGTTTGACTTGCCCGGCTGGCCGTCTGGGTGTCAAACATGCGGCCTCTCAGTTCGCAGGCTGTTGAGAACGAGCTCCAGGCAGCTCGGCGCCGAGTTCGCGCGATCGTGTGAAGAACCAGCACCACCGCCTCCACCTCCTCTCCCCTCCCGCCTCTCGAGCTGTCTGCGCCTGCCAGAGGAGGCTGGGGTTCGAGAGGGGGGTTCCGGGGTCACTCCCTGAGGGGCGCTAGGAGGTCGGCCCCCCCCTTCTGTTGCCAAGTCCGTCTCCCACCTGACCCTTCCCCTCTGGAGCTACCCTGGATCAATTAAGCAATTAGAGCCTTGTGTGGATCAACGTCTTGAGGTGGTGTTGGTGGGGTGCTTGGGGTGCCCTCTGGTGGCGGAAGAGGAAACGCTTGTCTGGGTTCCGGTTCTGACCCACTGGGTCTGGCCAGTGGGGAGAGGCATCGTCAGCGGGCCAAGCAATTTGTTCCTGTCCCGTTCTGGTGGAAGCTCGGCTGCGTCTCTCTCTCTCTCTCGGCCTGGTGGTTGCGCCACGCCACCCTGCGGGTGGACACATGATCAGGACAGGCCCCCACCCCCACCCCCGCCGCGACATTGCGACAGCGCAGGGCTCCAGGAAGCTCCGCGCAGATAAAGCCCCAGCGCCGCGCCGCGAGAATTAACCCCTTTGTAGGCCGGGACCCGGCTGTTCTGTGGCCGGAGCCAACCGTCTGCTGGTGACGCTCAAGGTGATGAGCGAGAGGCGGCCATCTGGCGCTGAGCCGGGTGGGATTCTGGGATCTCCTGTTGCTTCGACAAAACTGCCGGCTAGCTTGTTCCACGCTCCCACCACTCTCTCTGCGCAGAAGGGCGTCCTGTTCTGACTGTGGGGGGGTCTCATCCAGCGGTGTCACGATTGAAGCTTCAACCACACGGCTGGGCAGCTTGTTCCCCGCTCCCGCCGCCCTTTGTGTAAAGCAGCCCCTCTGGGGCTCATTTTTAAACGCAGCTCTGTTGTTTTCCATTTGTGTCCTTGGGGGGGGGCTGCTGTTGGTCTCGACGAAACCCAGTGAGGTGCCTTTGTGAAATCGGAAAGTGTTGTGGGAGGGGGGGGGTTGTGTCCTTTCCTGTTGGCATTCTGAGCTCACCGGCTCCCCCTGCAGGTCGCGAGGGTCACTGCACCGCCGTCCTGAGGTCAACGTGCGCGTGGCCGGCCCGGTCCGAGCCGGGACGCCGACTGGCTCGGCCTCACGGCGCCTCTCCCGCGCGCGGCGAGCGTCTCTTTCCTCACCCCGCCGCTGGCAGAGCCACGGGATAAATATGGTCCCCCTGTGCCAAGCGCCAAGTGCCTCTCCGATATTTCCTCCGGCACCTCTCCACAGCCACTTGCAGGAACAGACAGGTGTTTATTCAACCCACAAGTGGCATCGGCGCAGTTTAGCAAACAGTCATCCGCTCCAGAGATGGGCGGCCTGCGCTTGTGTCTGTGAGCGCGCGAGACGCTCCGTGAGATTAATCGAGCGAGCACAGATGCTGGGGAGGGCGGGGGGGACGTCTTTACGCTAAGGGAGGTGGGTGACTGGAACGAGGGGGTCACCCCTGCTGTTGCTGCGCTGTGGGATCTGAAAGGGCTTCATCAGCAGGTGGTTAGTCATGTGAAGCTATCGTCTTCATAATGCTTGTGTCCTTCTGTGTGTCCTCTGCAGCCTGTCTCTCTCCTCTGTGTGTGTGTGTGTGTG